CCCCGCAGCGGGGGTGCGGGATGCCCCTGGGGAGGGATGTGGGGTGCTCCACAGCAGGGTGGTGGGTCAGTGTGCCCAGGTCCCCCTGGTCCCGGGACCAGCAGTCTGCCCAGGTGCAGGGTGCGAGGTGCACACCGCACGGGAAGGTGGGAGAGCAAGGAGAGGGCATTACAGCCGAGTTATGGTCCCTGGTGCACCCAGGCACACGGGGAACAGGAGCATCCCCAAGAGAGCAGCATATCCCAAGCAGCCTGGAGGTGAGCGGCTTGCAGCGAGGCAGGAAGAGCTGCTGCGCAGGATGGCGTGAGCAGAGCCAGACCCACAGAGAGCTCTCCAGCCAAAGCACCCCACACACTGCAGGGTTGTTGTGTTGGTCACGAACAAGCTCCCCTTTGAGCTGTGTCGGCTTCGGCCTCCAGCCCCACGGGAGCCTGCCCTGGAGCGCTGGCAACAGCAAGGCCCGGCCACGCTTTTGGGAAGAGCTGGTGCCACGTGAGGAGCTCTGCCCCAGGACGCACAAACCGCTGCGCAAAAGCACGTTCAGCCTCAATTCACATTCAGCAGCACAGGGGAGAGGAAACCACACAGCAAACGGAGGCAAGATAATTTGTCTCCCCACTGGAAAACTCCTAAGCCCTCCTCTTAGACGCACAGTTGATTTTATCTCTTGCAATACCCTCCATTTTAGCATTAACTAATCTACCGCAGATATTCCTGTTGCTCGTAGTTAAATGTTGACTCTTCCAGAGTGTTGCTACATTTCTGGCTTTGGCAACATGGCAACCTCAGAAGGCAGCGAGTGGTGCCGGCCAAACACGCACTGTGCACTTTGATCAGTCTTTCCACCTCATTTTCCATCTCCGCTCGAGCATCCAGCTACCATTTTCCTTGGACAAAATCAATCTCTGTAAAAGCACTTAGATAGGGGAGTGACAACGTCCCGGGCTGGGTCTGGCCGCCCCAGCGGAGCAGCGTGACGGGTATTTGCAGGGCCGGTTATGATGTTGTCTCTCTTGCCCCATCTCCCCGCTGTCTAATCCCTGCATGTTTTATGGGGTGCAGCCAAAAAGCTGCCCCTTTCCTGCAGGACTTGCTATCTCCACAGAGCAGGACATGGAGCAAGCTTGTCAATGCCGGCGAATAAATCCCTTAATTTCTCCCCAAACTACAAGGGCAGAAGGAACACCTGGAACTGGTCCCGTATTGCCCAGTGAGACCCTCCACCCGCACTGCTGGTATTTCCTTCAGTTAGCATCAACATAAAGCTAATGCCAAACAGCGCTGAGCTCCAGCGTGGGGAGAAACGACTGGGTAGGAGGCAGTGAACAAGGCACAGCACTTGCTTTCGAATAACCCTTCAACCTCAGGGTAATTGCTGCTGTGGTGTCCAGTGGAAAACAAGGTCAAGAAGAGGAGAGAGCATGGAAAGATTCCCAGGATTGTGCGCAGGCAACTAGGGCAAGGGTGTTTATTTTGCATTTTGAGGGGCTGCTGCCTGGGTTTGTCTCAGAAAGTATGTAAGACCCAAAAGGAGCTCCAGAAAAATTATCAGCCTCTCTAAAAACAGAAAGCAGAATATTTTCCTTCTGTCCCTAGAGGCGTACATGCCGATGTCCCTAGTAATGTGCATGGGAAGGGATATTAAAAACTGAGACATGGAAGCCGGGCTGAGCTCTACTTGGAAACTCAGTCTCATGGAGACACCAATGGCTCTTTAAATGGAGAAGAATGAGGGATCCCAAGACAGCTAGGAAATTTTGGCTGAGAAGATGCCATGCTGTCCTAGCTGAAAG